CAGAGTCTTTAACCATCAGCATTATATTCACTCCACAAATTTTCAAAAGAATTTAAAATACAAGACAGTTTTTGCACTTTCTGAAATACAATACACTGCTGTCACTACAAACTTTGTGAAAATTAGGTTTTAACCCCTTTATTTGATTAATGGTACTGGAACTGATCAGCGAAAAAAACGTACTTTGCTATTCTATGCTACACAAAATACAGTATGAATACATGACCAAAGATCATCGAACTATTTGCAAAAAACATATCATTACAGCTGAATATGCCATAAGTGATGCATCTGGTCCAAAAGCCACACATAGCTAAACACTGACATCTTGAACAACACTCCCACCTGCCAAATTCTGTTTACTAATTTAGAAGTTTAACCCTTAACACTTTAGTCCGGGCATGACACAGCATTGCATCATCCGTTTACTGTCGGTAATCTCGGGGATGACGCAGTGTTGCGTCATCCACTAAAATAATTGCCAAAAATCAGGTTTTTATCCGATTTTTGGGGGACTGTTTGGTAACTGTCAACAAGCCGAATGCAATCTGTGACTACATTACAAACATGAAAGGTGTTGATCACTTTGACCAAATGATCAAATATCACTTCATAAGGAAAACTCACAAATGGACGAAGAAAATGACCATCTATTTTGTGCAAATGGCTATCTACAATGCTTATGTGATGTACAACTACTACACAAAAAATACTAAACTATAATACTACATATACTAAAATACTAAATACTAAACATTTGTGGGCAGGTATCGGGAGTGTAGCTGGAAGGCGTCTGGGCACTCACTCGCGGTTAACGCGTGGCCCGTCTTCAACTTGTCGGCGGGTGGAGCGTGACCAGGTTTTTTTTATGCTAACACATTGATACCAAAATGAAAGACCTAGGACGAAAATTGAGGTGACCAGAGTGAAAAGAGTGAACACATTTTATTGCTTTTGCGCGCTCCTGGGTAACTCGTTCGCACTTTCTCTGTTTGCTGCGGGTAATTAGCCAGGCTTTTGGAGTTTATATGCATTTAGTGCTGTAGAGAATTCTATTGCGAACACAATGATACCAAATTTAATCTCGTAGGACGAGAATTAAGGTGACAAAGTTGAAGAGAGTATACACTTTTCAGAATTAACGCGCGCTCCCATGAAACTCTGGGACCCAAATCGCACAGTTGAGGGGTGGCGGGCGGGGCACGCCAAAGTGTTAAACAGCGCAAATCATACATATATGATTTGAGTAACTGTCACAAAACGGCGCAAATCATATATATATATATGATTTGCATACAGTATTTAAAATAGTTAAAATAGACCTACACATACATAGAGCTTACATCTGCTTCCTCAGACCACCAGTAACCTTCCCCCATCTTGAAGAAAAATCCTGAGTCCCTCACTTTCCTTCTAGGGCCTTTGTAAGAAAATGATGACCATTGCTTGGCAACATCACCATCCAGTATCTGAATGTTTAGGGCAGCCATGGAGGAGACACTAAACTTTTAGCAACAGCAAATGAGTGATTACCATGTATATATTCGAGGCAAAATGTGTGCTCTATGCAATTTTAAGATTTAGGCTTAAAATATATTTATACGTGTATTTTTATGAATAAGTATGTGGGTGTCTTTATATCTTTACTTGTATATCCATACATACTTATATTTTCAAAGTTTTACATAATAGACAGTAACTTTGACACACAAATACAACCTGTTAGCATGAAAAGACTAAATTAATAAATTGAGAAACAATGAAAATAAATCAACAAAGTTATTCCTATGCGGCACCTCAACTAAAACTATGCAACTTCTCCAGGCCACTACAGCTAAACCACAAACACTAAGCTAGACACTTTTTATTTGGATTTTTGTGCTTCCTGAAGGCTAATTAACAATGTCATAAGAAAAAATTATTTTTTCGGAACAATTTTTTCTTGAGCGTCCTGGGGATGTTTGCTATTTAACAGTTAGCGGTTTAAGGGTTAAACTATCTCGTCTGACAGCTGGATGGACAGCGCTTTGGATTCGTAGTCCTGAGGTTCTGGGTTCGATCCCCGGTGGAGGCGGAGACAAATGGGTAAAATGCTTCTTTCACCCTGATGCCCCTGTTACCTAGCAGTAAATAGGTACCTGGGAGTTAAGACAGCTGCTATGGGCTGCTTCCTGGGGGTGGAAGCCTGGTCGAGAACCAGGCCATGGGGACACTAAGCCCCGAAATTTTCTCAAGATAACCTTCTCAAGAGATCTCGCCTATTAACCAAATCTAGAAATAATCTATTATACTGGTATAGCATTGTATAAGATAGGATAGTCCTTGTTAGGATTATTTCCCAGGTTTCCCAGACCAATGGTATATATAGGTAGTCATCCATCCATTTACTGACCCAACCCAACAGTGTTTAATCTGATTGGGTGATGTTTACATCACTACCCCAAAAGATTGTGCTTATCCAAGAGACACTAGAAATATGTGTAAAATAATAAACCCCACATTGTTTGAGTTAGGTAAACAATATTTATCAAATATCGATACTGTTCTTAAAAGGTTCCTCCACTTTGCACCCGCAAGATAACGTAAGTTTAAGGGTTGGTAAATGTTAATCTTCTGGTTTGATTAACTGTTCACCTGAGACAGTTAAGCAAGTCCCAGCAATGTCTGAGTACAAGTGACAGTATGAACAATCCTTCAGGGCAAAATTAAAACCAACCAACACTAATCAGTACTCATATAACATTACAATTTATATCAAATGCATAAGAAACTATTATTATGCACCACTGGAGCCAATCACAGACATTTAAAATATATTATTGTACATGCCTTATGTAACAGAGTGGATTCCATCTCATGTTTGAAAACTGCTCAACGAGGTGGCGGATGACTTGGCCAAAGATGCCACATCAAAACAACACGACATTGAATGTGTTTTCACAATGAGACAAATAAGAAGCAAAATCAGAAATATTCAGGCACAGGCAGAAGTGATGAGGAGAGATATAATGTATGAGGGAAGCCAAACTGGTCGGCCGACCTAGGAAGCCGGTCGGCCGAGTGGATAGCACACTGGACTTGTGATCCTGTGGATCCGGGTTCGATCCCGGGCGCCGGCGAGAAACAATGGGCAGAGTTTCTTTCACCCTATGCCCCTGTTACCTAGCAGTAAAATAGGCACCTGGGTGTTAGTCAGCTGTCACGGGCTGCTTCCTGGGGGTGGAGGCCTGGTCGAAGACCGGGCAGCGGGGACACTAAAGCCCCGAAATCATCTCAAGATAACCTCAAGAAACCATGCAACACTACATGTGAGTCAAAACACCCATTTCACTTATGGTAAAAGGAGAAATGCTTGGAGTGACTCTGTGCACATGCTGCTCAGGTTTGGGTACAAATTTTACTGGGAATATGGAATAGGTGTTAATGATAATGACACCAAGGGTAAACTATGTGGTATGTTAAGGTCTCACACCCTCACCCATTATGTTCTTAATTGCCCATTGATTAATATATATAGAAAACACTGAGATAAGAACTGTTCCTGGACAAATTGGCTGGATGTGTCACAATGGAAAGATTGATGATATTCTGGAGAGAGATAAAAGAATTTTGCACCAATAGCCAAAAAAATATAAAAAAAACGGTTGGTATAATCTCCAAAATCAGGTATTATGCTCCCCACTCTGCTCTCCTCTCATTATACTGTGCACTAATCTATCCTTATCTTACATATGGTATCTGTGCATGGGGTTCAACCACTGCAAATTACCTAAAGCCCATCATCACTCAACAAAACTCTGCTATCAGCAATATAACAAACTCTGTCTTCAGACAATATACAGCCTCTCTGTTTAAGTCCCTTAACATGCTAAACAAACATTCACTCCACACATTCTTATGTGCTGTCTACATGTACAAAACCTTGTTCCTAAATGCTAATTTGATCTGAAACTTTTCACTGATAAGTATAATAGAACTTATGAGCACCACACCAGAAATAAATATATCTTTAGTATCCCCAGAGTTAGACTAAATCTGTGCTAACACTCCATGCAAATAAAAGGGCCCAGTCTTTGGAACTCTCTCCCTGATGAATTAAAAAAAATTGTCCACCCCCATGCCATATTCAAAAGTAAAACTAAAAAGAAATCATATTATCATCATAGTTTCCAACCTTGTGATTCAAACTCACATTAATTATTTATTTATTTATTTATTTTTATACAAGAAGGTACAATGGGTGTATGAGAGTACATAGCATTGATGTTTTTACATTCTTGTAAAGCCATTAGCATGCATAGCATTTTGGGCAGGTCCTTAATCTAACAGATTATATTAAGTAGGTAATCTGTAGCGAAAAAAGTGAACAGGTACATAGTAAGAAAACTTTAAGTAAATTAGTAGGTACATTTTAGTAAAATTTGAGGATTATCGACAGTTACATTGTAGCATATTTTGAGGATTATTTCTAAGTACATTGTATTAAAATATTCATTCAACATAACAACCATGATTTAAGATGATGGCAGTATCTTGTACTACCCAGTTCCCCAATATTAGTATTTAAGACATATATATCCTTACCAATGTAATCACTTCTGTCACCTTATATTGTTGTCATTTGTTGATATAAAACCTTACAGCAATATATCTTTTTATCTTACCTGATATGTCAGCTTAAGGACCTGCCTGAAACGCTATACGTGTTAGTGGCTTTGCGATAATGTACAAATACCAGCCTTATGTAATCTCACCAACCCATTGTACCTTCTTGTGAATAAATTTGTATTATTATTATTACTCTCACAACCCAATGTACTTTCTTGTAGACCCCGATGGGCCGGTTATTCTTAACACTGGGGTTCATGTACCTTTACCAGCTCACACCGGTATACAGTCATTAGCGTCTACTTAACAGTTCATACCACCTTACAGTCATTACCATACACTAGCCGAAGACCACAGATTAATCCTAAAATCGTGGGGAAAGCTGGTGTTACCTGACGAAGGCCCGCCATCTTCACCCAAATATTCCGTTGTTGTTGTTGTTAAGATCAAGAACAGCTACCGGACTGGGCTAATCCGGATTCAGAGGTGAAGGCTTCAGTGTGTAGGCCTTAATGAAGGAGATTGGCCAATCGCCAGATAATTTAATTACTCCTCAGCTGCATGGCAGGGAAGTGGGCCCCTCCTCGACACCTGCTTCGGAATAATGGTGTCTTTTTATGTTGCTATGCACAACAGCTATTCATTGTGAGAAATTAATAGATGACAGCAGCTGTAAATAGCTGATAAGCCTCCCATGCCATTGCTCCACCCATAACTGCTATTCAACAAATCTCTAGAGAATCATACAAAGAATCTGCCTTTAAAGGAGAGGTTCAGTGTAACCTTAAATTGTCAATGAGCAAGCAGTCTGAGAGTAATAGTACACCAAGAACTTCAACTAAATCTTGTACGCATGTAGACGCATAAAAGAAAAAAAAAAATCTTGTAGATCTGAGGCAAAGTGAAATCGACACCAGTAATTCCATCTATCGTCATATCAAGCAAGAGGAGCCACACATCTATGGTTCATCCAATAAAATCAGCAGACTTCTAGATGTTACTACTGTTCGGCTTAGACTCGGTTACAAGTATCTGGGAATTCTCATTATCTGCTGATGTAGACCTGACCAAATGTAAACTGTGTCAACAAAATTTTTCTGCGGTTGGAAGAAAACGAGCTTAGATTGGGGACTTGTTTATTTTATAATAGTAAATAATAAATTAATAAATAATAAATTAATAAGAAAAATAATAAATTATTAATAAATAATAAATTATTATTATATAATAATAATAAATAATATAATAATAATAACAAATAGTATAATGATAAGCAATTATTTTTAATGAATCAAATAGCTAATTAGGGTGAATGATAAATAATTAGTGACTAATGCATAACAATAAAGTATGAAAGAATAATTATGATGAATAATCATTATAATGATAAAGTATTAAATCAATTACAATTAATAGTTACATCTATAATTAGTAATTGAAAGTTGCATTATTTGAATTTACACTAATTACAATTCATGGTAACATTTCTTAGCTATCTGCAGGCTTATCACTTTAGGGGTTCCCGCGGAGCACCCCCCCATCCCGTGATGGCCTGCAGCGCGGAACCCCCAACCCTGAAGAGCGAGCGGCGGCTGGCCGCTCTAACTAGGAATGTGACTACTCGCACTGTGGCTCTAACCGTGCCCGTGACAGATTTCCCTGACCGAAAAAATTACCAAACCGGGTCTGCTAGACAGATGCTACAAGTGAAACAGCTTCCTTGCCGAGGCCAACGGAGCACCATCGCGACGTGCCATGAGCATAGAGAGGCATGAGCCCACCAACTAGACCTTGCGAGTCGAGTGTTTCTCGCCAACCTTTAACTAGGAATATGGCCACTCGTTTCTGTGACAGCAACCGTGCCCGCATCCCAGGAGAGGGCATTAAAAACAGCCGGGTTCCTCCTGACTGAAAAAGGTACCAAACCCGTTCTACTAGGCAGTTAAAACTAACTGTTCACAGTTAAAGTTAAACTAGCCGTTCTACTAGGTAGTTAAAACTAACTGTTCACAGTTAAAGTTAAACTAGCCGTTCTACTAGGTAGTTAAAAGTAACTGTTCACAGTTAAAGTTAAACTAGCCGTTCTACTAGGCAGTTAACATGCTGCAAGTTAAACAGCATCCTTGGTAAGGCCAACGGAGCATCATCGCAACGATCCAGAGCGTAGAGGGCAATTAGGTGTACCTCCCATGCAATGTCCTTGTGAGATGATCATACAGCAGGGATTGTACGCCCAAGTAGGGGCGCTGTGCACGATGTCGTAAGTCTGGTCATCGCTGAAGCCCACCCTCACAGGGACCAATCCTGTAAGGCTGGCCCCAGGGCGGGTGTGGGAAGTGGGAAGCCGCCTACACCGAGGTCGACCCCGTGTCCGTCGTTGTCGCTGCAGCCCGCCCCACGGCGGTGAGGGTGGTGTCGACTTCATGGGTGCAGTAGTCTGCCCTCGGGCTCCATCCCTTTTCCTCGTTCATCAATGGTGTACCTTGTGCGCCTTCCGTAATCGGTTCTGGAAGTATTAAGGCAGTAAGGGTGGGCAGAAGCGGGCATGCAGTAGGAACGTGACGGGCAAGGAATCTACCCCTTAAAGGTACTGCTGGAATTAGTTTGTAAGAGGGCGGGATATTTTCCGGAAGCAAACTGGGCAACTGTCATTAATTGATAATCCTCCTTGTAGGTTAGGAGTAGGAGGACTATCCCGGACTGGCAGTAGGAGGATTGATATCCTCCTACTGCCAGCTAACAGTCGATCATCTCCAATTAGGCCTCTCAGAATCAAACTGATTAGCTCCAGTATCCCTAAGGAGACTAACCTCCCCCTCAGGTTGTCCTTCTATGCTGACCCAACCTTTACTGATATACCGATCGCCTATATACCGATCGTTCATTAAGTTTGCTTTCTGTGGTTTGTCCTGTAGTACATCAATACACTTCTTCCGGGGATCACACATGGTCTGGGTCACAACTCTCTTGCCCTGCCGACAATCTCGCATCATGTGACCCGATCTGTTACACTTGTAACATCTTATCTGGAAGAAGTCTCTTCTGTACGTTCCCGAGTGGCTCTGACTCTGCCCTCTCGTATTGGAGTTCCTTGGGTCAGTTGCACTACTCGTACTCTGTGGGGCTTGACTGGACTCTTGACTTCTCGGCACGTACTTAGTTTCCTACTTGCTTCCAGCAGGCGGACTCGGCAACTTTCCCTCCTGGGGCTTAAAACTAGCTGGTCTGCTAGGCTGTCCACCAAAACTTCTTTCTCCCCAGACTCCACTGGGTCTGCCATTGCTGCGTCTTGCCTGGCTTCTCACTCTGTTCTCCCTTAAGCTCTTGTATGCTTCTGTAATTATGTCTGCCCTATCTGTGGTATCTCTTACATCCTTTACCCCTGCCTCTTGGATCTTGAACTTTGTCTCGGGGTGCATCATTTCCAAGAACTTTTCCCTGACTATAAATTGCTTTAGGTCAGCATAAGATCCAACTCCGGCAGCCTCAATCCATCTCTGTAATCGCCTTTCCAGATCCCTTGCCGTGTCAGCAAACGTGCTTGCTCCAACCTTCACCATCTCTCTGAAGCGCTTGCTATAAGCTTCCGGGATCAACTGAAATGAGCACAGCATGCTGCTCTTTAATGTTGCATAATCCTGGCATTCCTCCTATGTCAGTTGAGTGTATGCCTCTCTGGTGGCACCAGTCAATCTTAACTGAACCAATTGAGCCCATTCCTCCTGTGGCCACTCTTGATGCTGGCCACCTTTTCGAAGTGTTCAAAGAAGCTCTCTGCCTCTTCGGGCACAAATAGGGGAATGTCCTTTTCTCTGACTTTACTATCATGTGGGTGTGCTACATGGGTAGTGCTCTCTGGCAACCCATGTTCGATCCTTTGCTCAGCCAAGGTTCTGTTTGTTTCTATCTGCATTTGTTTGGTCTTCTCTTTTTCTTTCTCCTCCTCTAGTCTGGCTTTCTCTTTTTCTTTCTCCTCCTCTAGTCCGGCTTTCTCTTTTCTTTCTCCTGTTCTAACTCCAGCTCTCTTATTCTGGGTTTCTCTTTTTTCTACCTCCAGTTTTGTTTTCTATTTTTATACCTTATTCTTCATCTCCAGTTTTAATTTCAACTTTTCCAGCTGGAATTGCCTTTCCTCACACTTCATTGGAGCTCTATCTGCAATCGTTCCAAGCTCCTGTTCCTGCTACCTCTACTACTGTGGCTACTCCTACTACTCCTCCTCGATCCCTGGGGTCTTACTTCATCCTGCCCATCATCCTCCTTTCCACTTTCAGCTCCTTCCTGGGCTCCCTGTTCTGCCACTTCACTCTTGGCTCTCAACTGCCTCAGGATTTCACCCTTCATCCCAGCCACTTTAGATGCCTTCACTCTGCTCTGCCACATTTCTCTGCTATCTGTTTCAACTGTTCCCTGGTGCAACTTTCCAAGTTCTCAGGCTTGCCTGACTCCACATACGTTTGCACCTTCTCCATCCTGTCCTGAGAGTCTTCCCAAGAGAGAGAGAATATACACCTGCAGTCAAACTGTCTCTAATCCAATCTCGGACAGGGTGTGGGTGTGTCAGTTCACTATCCCGGACACGCCCCCAAATATTATTATGTGGTCGTCCGCCCCTTACGGACAACCAACCAAAACCCGTAGAGTGCTTGTACTTTGATCAGGAGATCACCCTGTTCGCTTCCTGCTCTTGGAGATGGGCTCAGAGTCACACATTTAGTGGGGTGCGGCACCAACACTGGCCTCATTGTCACATGCATGCACCCAATTCGAGCCGCTGTGACTCCCCATTCTCTCCATGGTTGGCATGATCTCAATCCCCCTTTCTTGAATTATTTATTTATATTTATTTATTTATATACAAGAAGGTACATTGGGATTGTGAGGATACATAGTATAGTAATTACAATCTTGTAAAGCCACTAGTACGCACAGCGTTTCAGGCAGGTCCTTAATCTAAGAAAATTTTAAGTAGGTAAATACTTGCAAAATTTATAAAAAATGATAACAGTTACAAAGCAAGAAAAAAATAAAAGATGAGAGAAAATTGTAGGTACCTTACCTTGAGGTAAGGTATCTTTAATAAGGTACCTTACCTTGAGGTAAGGTACCTTTAATAAGGTACCTTACCTTGAGGTAAGGTACCTTATTAAAGCACATAGGTAGCTCAGATTGATTGCAATGACAGCTTGAATGGTAGTTGACAAAAGTTAGTAGGCACAATACAGCATATGGCTAACACATAAAAGTTTTAGTTAGTTTAGTTCATTTATTATGCACCCCATACCCATCTTGTGGGCGGTAGTGGAAAGGGTTACAGAGGCACATAATGGGCTCAGGGACTGAACCCCACAATTCATTTAGCTAAGCAAGTTACAATCTTGATGAGCTAGTTACAAAATTCAATATAAGTCATCACATCAACAATGGGTTCGAGATCGACGTCAAGTACAGGTTCTAAATTAAGCAACTGACATATGTGGAGAG